CTTGTATAAATAAAGATTGAATGAATGTTCTTCGAAAGCTATTTAACGATTTGACTTGTATGCAGTCTGCAGCACAATTCAGAAGTCCAGCTTTAAAAAAAAAGTATTTAAAAAAATTAGATGTGTACTTTTAGTATTCGATATACATTGAAAGTACATGGCTATAGCAATTACAGAAGATCATTTTAAATTATATGCATACTATAAGTAAATACTGTAATATTTTATGTAAAATATCCTATATCTCATTCTTGACAAGAGAAAACTTTAAATAGTTTTAAACACATTTTACTGAAACTGTCACAGCACACTCCTCCCTCAAAAGGAAGCATTTCTACTCTCTTGATTCTTTTATTTTCATTCCCATTGCCATATTTTTATTTTGTTGTCATCCTGAATGATCACAACAACAGGACTAAATATCCAGGCTCTAACATTCACATAAAATCACATAAAAAAGTAGAGTGAAAGTACTGAGTGAGACAGCAGCTACATCCAGAGAAAGGAAGATCAGAAAGACTAACGCATGAGTGATGGTGGAGCTGTAATGAGGGCAAGCCCAGTGAGAGACTTACTGTGTGCACTGTGACGAGGCAGAGCAGTGGGAAACTCACCCATACTGCGGCTGGATGAGAGCACAGTGAACGCTGGCAGACACAAATCAAAGGAAGGGAAAGAAAAAAAAGTGGTGCAATGAGCAACACAAGAGGTGGAAGAAAGAAAAAGAAAACACAGCTCAACTAAATCAGTGGTGAAAACAAGCTGTTCAAGCAAAGCAAACGGATCATTGTTGAAGCAAATGATGACATCTGCACCAAACACATTGGAAAGTTGAAGGCAGCAGGTCAGTGTTTGAGACCATTTTTTAAATTATATAGAACAGAGAAAAGCGAGGTTTGTTTATAAAGCAAAAAATAAAAATAAAATGAACTTCCACACCCAGACAGCTTATTCACACCTCCAGCAGAGGGCACTGTAGCTTCTTTAATCATCCATCCATCATCTTTTACCCTCTTCTTCCTTTTCGGGTTGCGGGGGTCACTGGTGCCCATACCCAGCAGTCACTGTGTGAGAGGCGGGGGACACACCCTGGACAGGTCTCCAGTCCATCACAGGGACACATCGAGACAAACATTCACTCTCTCACACTCATCTAGAGACAATTTAGAGTTACCAATCAGACTAACGTGCACGTTTCTGGTCTGTGGGAGGAAACTGGAGTACCCAAAGTTAAGTCAGGTCCTCTGGACAGAGTAAAACTTTTGTTTGTTGAAATGTTTCATATTTTATCCAAAAGACGAAAATACATTTCAATAAAGAAACATTTCAAAATAAAAACAAAGATGACTAAACAATAATGTGCACCAATTACAGCCTAGAAATCTCTTTAAATTCACCAGTTTTAAATTTACCAGTATTCCTAAGCTCTTCTGTACATTCCCATACGAGCATAAACACAGTATAGTTAGAGCTGCTGTTGTAGAGAGGGAGTCAATAAAACTGCTGTCTCACATGCAATGTGTCAAATCACTTACCTGTATTTTAACTTATGGTAATGGTGATCATAATGTACTTCAACATTCTCAACAATAAAAAAGGACCATGTGGAGAAATTTGTGTTAAACCTTTGTGAACCAAGCTTGGCTTTGTAGTTAAGAAGGTTTAAAGGTGATTTTAAGTGACTGGATTACAAATCACCCAATAAATGACATTACGAGTGAGTTTGCTGTGCCACACAACAGTTCTACAGAAATTATGATTTCACACAAACATAACAATATAATAAAAAAAAAAAA